CTTCGTTTAAAAAAATGTAATGATCGTTTAGACTTAATATTAAAATTTAGGCATTGTTTGATTCCTTTTTTTTTTTTTTTAAATACATTTTTCTTTATTTCTCTTCAATTACACATTTTTTAATAAAATATTATTAGATCAAATCCAGAACTTTTTCTTTATTTTTTAACCATACATTCTCCATTAAATCACTATTCCAAAATGTATTCTTTATTTAAAAAATAATAATAATAAGTATCAAACAAGCTCTTGAATAAGATTGCGAGATGGTACCTTGAGTTAATAGAGCTGGCTCGTCGACTTCTTCCAAGGAACTCCATCTCGTGCATGCATCTTTAATCAAGTTCGCTATATATGCCTGCTCGTATCAACCAAGTTTAGAAAATGCACTTGTTCATGTATACACATATACATGCACACATAACTAAAATATTCAAAGATTAATTGCAAATCATACCGTGTGCATAGGTTTTATATCATGAGCGAAGTAAACTCGACCGTCGATTTCAACTTTCACAATTTGGCATATAGGATTTAAAATGAGAGTGTAATTTGGTCCACAATATCTATAGAGTTTAGAGCCCAAGGTACAATTCTTGGCATGCCTCAATGTGACATCCCACATTTTATCTGACATTCCCAAAATCTGTTCGAAAAGTAAATAATTAGTTATTAATTGTACTTAAGCATAAAATTAATAATAAAAAAAATGTTTAATAATAAACCAATTGTACCTCTCTAAGCTTGGAGGGCTCAATGGTGAACGATTTCAAGAAATCTTGGACAGTTTTTATGCCTTTCAATGATAGTTTGCGATGAAAAGTTCCGTCTTTCCCTATCTTTTCCAGACGCCACACCTCGTCTTCCAAGGCCGGGGGGTGATGTTTCTTGTACACTGGCACGTATAAATACTTCTCGATTAGAAAAATAAGGGAAGGGGAAAGAAAAAAAAAATCAATTCACTTTGATTATTCTTTCGTGTCTTGTAAAGTTATGATCACAAAATCGCAACACTTCATGGCTCGACCTACCCCAAACCGAGTTTACGAGTTTATGTATGCCTCGTTTGACACTAAATTAGATCTATCAAACTCAATCTAGGTCAAGAAATGAAGCACGTAAAAAGGGTCATATGAGAGAGTTCTTACATTCGCCACGGTGGTCTTTTACAACAAAAGGCTCGGACATGGCTTCACATATTCTAATATTTTGACTGTTTCCTTGTGCAACAACTTTTGCACCAAGCCTGAATTTCCTACACCGAATCCAGCTCGAATTATCAGTAAATTCAATGTCTCCAACTACAGCAATCCCATCCCTCATTGTAATATTCAATTCCCCAGTAAGCAATGGCCTTTTCCCAGTTCTTTCTTTCACAATTTTCTTGTCAAAATCTTCCTTATTCCATGTGAATTCAGGCCTGTTGAAATCCCCGTCAAGAACGACTATTTCGACCTTGATCCAGTACGGAAGAGACGTCGGGATTTTCGGGTGTCCTTCTTTGGCGTCGACGAGAAGGATTTGAAGAGGGTTGTTGTCAATATCCACGATTTTTGTGCCAGTAAATATTGGAAGTGAAAGTCTTTTGTTGAATATGAGTTGAAGGCTTGGTGTTTGTTCATGATCTGCTGCTTGGATTTTTAATGACGGAGACGTCGATATTGATCTCATGCAGCTGATTAATCTCAACCCATTTTCTACTTCTTCACTAACCTGAATTTGTTCAAAAGATCAAATTTCATCATCAAGTTTCATCAAAATATCATTTTGATTCCATAAAAACATGGTGAACTTTCAGCAAAATGTCATGTTTTGTTCAATTTAAACATTTGTAAGACGCTCGGGAATGTCGAAAAATTAACACAGTATTTTTATCCCGAGATAATGGGCATGGCTCAAGAAATATTTGTTTCATATGCCTATTCAAGTACATACATACATATATACATACATAATAAGAAAATATTTTGGAATCTTTACCACTCTTCGAAGCACTGGTTCCAAGGTTGAAGCGAATTTCTCCAAGAAGTTCACCATACCCGCCTCTCTAACTACACTGTCGACAAAAAATAAGCATATTCAGTTCCATATATTTTAGCAAATTTCAAAATCCAGTAGTACTTAAACGAACGAAGAAAAATAAGCTTAAATCTTATTCGTTATTACACTATCCATAAAACGAAATGATAAAGAGTAATCGATAAGGCTTTGTGCGTACGAAGCTAAAGAAGGTTTATTTTTCATCCGTTTCTGGTTTGGCTGATCTTCATCTTCATCAAAGAACCGTTTGGCTGCCATTTTATTAAGATTAACAAACTAAGTAACTAACTGATTGCTGCAGATTTAGGAAGATAGAAGATAAGAGAAGGGCAATGAGTAGTATTTAAAGTAGGAGTAGAAACAATATAATAATGTATTAGGAAGTTTCGTGGAATAACGTAAGAAAGAGGTAGGCAACGGAGGTCCAGAGATGATTTTAAGGTACTCTCTCAGATGTAAAGACTTTGACGTCAACCCTTCCCTAGTCAACAACCTTACAATTCACACACGAACCCTCCTCAAACCAAACTCGGCTTGTTTCGAGTTTGAATTGGCTCATGCAAAAATATAGTCCGAGTCCGACCGTCATCAAACTAGCCCATGAATCCACCAATATAGCCTACCATTTTAATTTTTTCTTTTCTACTTTTTGTTAAAATTAGGACATAATTGGAAATGAAATTTAATATTCTAGTTGATATGTTTGTGAAGTTACTCTGATAAAACGAATATAAATATTAAAAGTAATTTACAAGTAGAATTTAATGTTAATACTTAACAGTAGTTTAAGTATATTCTAACTATATTTTATTATTGTAGTGACTCTTTCAATTTTACTTTTACTTTTCGTTTTTTTCGATAGATTGGCAAATTGAGTCAATCTTCATGGTGGTGCTGTGATGGACAATCAAGCTCGACACAATCAATAGATTATAGCGGACCAACCGGTGAACTAGCCCAAATTGAGTTGGGTTTATTTCGATCCAATTTTCTAATGAGCCCAAATATTCGATTCGACGTAAACAAACTTTTTTTTCTTTTAAACTTCGGATGTTATTTCATTCTGGGGTGACGGAGGGATCATGATCATACCATTCGAGTTTTTTTTTTTTTTTTTCATGCTTTATCTGGAGGTCTGGAGAAAGCTGCAATTAAGAGGATTTCCCTAGTCCTCCAGCTACATCCCAACAGACCGGTAGACTTGAATTTTGTTCCTACATAATCTTTGACAACACGGAATAACTTTGATTCTATCATACATATTGGGATCAGGATTGATTGGGTTAGGAATCCAAGTTTGGATTCGGTAGATCTGATGGGACCCAATCTCATCCATTTTTTTTTTCCCAAAGCTTAGTATGCATCCTAAGCTCTTAACGAATATATAAACACATGTAAATACCAAAATATGCCTTTGAGCTAGTCCTCTTATAAAATTGTATTTGTGAGATTTTGTACTCTTAACTTTAGATAGAGCATAGATTTAGCGTAGGAGACTGGGACGTAGGTCATTTCTAATTGAACCTTAGTAAAATATTGTGCTCGATCCTTATTTTTACCTTTCTTGCATTTTAGGGTTTGATATATACTTTAGATTTGCGAGCTTCTTTTTGGTCCTTCGTTTGAGTCTCCTTGAAAGCCCAAGAATGTTATTGCTGTCAGCAGATCCCTTGCACGACGTCGTTACGATTAGGTTATTTTACCGATATGGGCTATTAATAAATGTGCTCCCTGGCCCATCACAAATTCCTAACCAGGCCCAAACCCACAAAAAGGTTGTCGTGATCATATCCGACCAATAAGCATATGTAACTCGTCGTGTCAATCTCAGTCCAGCGACTAACTCGACGCCATAAGAACATAGGATCCCTACACTTGTAGTACCGCATCTAGATAGTTGTCGAAGGACTTGTCATGTGACCTTATGTATCTTGAGTTCTCTATTTTTCTTGCACATTAAGGTACTTTTCATCCAACATGTATGCTATCTCAAGTATACATAAGGATGGCAATAAAACTCGCCCCACCCCCTAATGGAAAACCCTCCCCGAACGCAGGGGCGGAGCCAGAAAATTTGTTTAGTGCGGCATAATTTAACCCACGTTGAATATTGAGTTTTGATCATGAATTTAATGATAATAAAACTACAAAACAAAATAATGAGTTTGAACCTAAAAATAAAACTCATGTAAACTAAAATATGTTTTTATTCCACCTTCCCTACTACTAAAGGGGAAAAAAATGAAAATGGTTTAGGCCTAAAAATTTGCCCGCACTCGTCTCAACATGGCTCCGCCCATGCCCGAACGGGTTGGTGGGACGGGGCTTGGGGCTGGCATCCCCGCCCCGTGAAGGAAAAAAAAATTAAAAATAATTTTACTTCTAAACAATTCACTAGTGAAAAATCCATTTTGAATTTATATTTTATTCTTTAATAATAACATAACTCGAACAGGGGCGGACCCACATGGGGTCATGTGGGGTCAAATGACCCCACAAAATTTTGGGTTTTTTTTTTTTTTTTTTTTTGGTTTTTTTTTTTTTTTTTTTTTTTTTTTTTTCTTCTTCAAAAAATGGTTGTTTTAACTCGTTTTCAACCCACTTTAATACATACCAAATGAAAAACGAAATATTGCATTCTTAATATCATTTCTAAGCATTCATGGCCTAGTTTTTCGCTTCTTAATAGTGTACGAAATGATCAACCATAGCAAAAGATAAGATGTATTAAACTTTTGACCCCACAATCCAAAACGGCTAGGTCCGCCCCTGAACTCGAAACTTTGAAAATGTAAAAAAAAATTAAACGGGGCAACTCCCCTCCCCGCCTAAGACGAGACGGGATGGGGTTTGGGGGAAACAGGGCAGGCCCATTGCCATCACTAACTATTCGAGCCATAGACGATCATATCAGCTATTCGACCAACATGCGAAAACATGATACTAACATCAAATTAAGTGTCGAAGACTAGACGAAGAAAGTAAAAAAATTTCAAGAGTGGCCAAAAACATTCTTCAATAATATATTGTGAATCAATAAAGAAAAAGACTTTTCTGCACAAATTCTCCCCCCAAAAATTACATCAATCAATGGTAAATTTATTTAATTATAACTCTTAAATATCAACCAAAATTCATGACAGTTGGAGCAAACCTCAGTAACCTATCTAAAGAACTTCGGGTAAATTTCCTGGCAAACAAATAGCAAATGTTCGTGGGCTTCCCATTGTATATGCATTGCTTTTCACCCCTCATCTGGTTTAACAAATCCACTGTAACCGATGTTCTAAAAAATTTAGTTGGATGGGGACCACCCTTTGACCAGTCAACCCAAGTCAAAGTCCTGTTGGAATTTTTCCATGGAAATTTCATGGCAACATATGTGGGCAAGTAATGCTCATCTGAGTAACATGCAGGCTTGCAGTATTTTTTGAACAATGGGAAGAATTTTCGGTCCGAGACAAATTCAATGGCCAAATCTCGATCCACCTCGAACCATTGGGCGCCCTTCCGCCATTGCTCGATTGTGACTAGTGGCTTCATCCGCTTGTTGTATCGGCCACGGCCAACAGCGCCCCACTGGTCGTATGATTCGACGAATGAGTCTTTCGAGTCGATGAGGTAAGTGTAGATGGTTTTGAAGTTGAACAAAGGTATGCATGCCTCTGACAGAAGAACAAATCTTTGGTTTGAGATATCAAGTAAAGCATTGGCGAGTAGGCGACGTTCTGCTTCTACCATGCTGAATTCTCCCCATTGTACTTCCTGCAAATGTCGGTTAAATAAGTTAAATTTTAGATGCTTTATGTAAAATTAATGAATTGTTGACCTCCTGATTTGTAATCTATGTACATTATTTTATTGATGTATAGGACGATGTTGTCAGTCTGAATGTACTATATTTTGTACGTCATAAATTTGCAGCAATAACATAGGTGTAAGTTTTTACATGTCGACTTGATCACAAGCCTAACACGAACCTATTTGTCAAAATAAATGAGGTCTAGCTAGTTTGATCGATATTAGGCTGACCTCCATGAGTCGCAAGTTTGCTAGTTGAATTTGTAAAAAAAAAAAATGGAAAGGGTTGCATTTCCCATTTTGTGTTTCTCCATGTGGAGAGAGAAGAGGAAGAAGAAGAAGAAGAAGAAAAAAAAAGGAATTTGGGAAAGTAGGGAAGCAAATGCAAAAGGAGTACAATCAAAGAATGGTATAGCAAAAGGTTGATGTGCACTTCATGGAAAGGGCAGACCTTAGGTTGTAAAAGAAGCCAAATAAATAAAAAAAATAAAAAAATTTAATGATATTATGCAACCCTATATCAAAATTGAATTATAAGTTAATCCACGCCATAACTAAGAATAAGAATAAGACTGATA